TATTTTCTATAGCGTCAATATTATCTTATATACTATTTATCACATAAAATATAAATAGATGCAACCGAGACGGAAGAAGTATATATTTATAAGAAATTATGAACAAGCATGGTAAAAAATAAATAGAATGAAGCCTAAATATACCTATTAAGTATTTCTTCCATCTCGATTTAAAATATATTTTTTTAATTTTTATAGGTCTCATTCCGAAGTATTTTTTTTAGTTTTTTAATAAAAGTAATTATACACTAATACTAAAATATCTTTAACTTTTACCTAAATTACAAACATGTCATTACACATACAATTAATAATACGTAAACTCAAAGGACAAAAATGTCAAAATCTCTTACACTCCCACTAACCAATAAAATACTACTCCCTTAATCGTCAAAATCTGTGCTCATTCTCTTTGTATTTTTCAAAGAGATTGGGTACATAATTGGATGACAGACGTATATTTTTCTAATATATATTACGAAACCCCAAAGAACTTGTTTGGAGTGGGACGAAGAGAGTATTATATCATTTTTATCATTTTTTTTTATTTTATTTAAAAATATATATTTCTAATTATAGTATAAATAATTATATTTAAATACTAAAATACCTATCAATTTTACAAAACTATTCATTTTATTTGTATATTCAAAGCCATAACTGTCAAAACAAAATGTTACACATTGGGATGAGGGAGTATCATCTTTAATTTATAATTTACTTATAAAATTTACCCAGTCTTTGTAAATAATTTTAACTTTGAGTTTGTTTTATTAAATCAATTTTTGTTTAGTCGTGGTTTGAAATTTATTTGAAATAAAATATTAATTTGAATTTTTTTAAATAATATTTTGATATAATATTTTATGAGATTAAATAATAATTTTTATGAAAAAATTATGTAAAACAAATAATCTTCCTTTCGGTTTAAAATTACAAGAGAACAAATTTTTAGGATGTGTTAATTTTGTAAAATAGTTTGAATGATACTTTATATGAACTATAGAAAATTGTCAATGTAATGTCAAAATAATAAATGTACATAATATATATATTTTTTTTAGAAATGCGTTTGTTAACAAAAAAAAAAAAAAAAAAAAAAAAACACCCTTAATCAATCATGTATACTCCTTCCGTCCCGTTGGAAGGGAGGCGTTTGCTTTTTGTACGTAGATTTTTTAATATTAGTATTATATTTGATTGTAGTAAAAAAGACAAAAATATCTCTATTAGTATGGTGTAATATAAAATTAATGGCATTTGTGTAATATATTGTAAGTTGAAAATGTATTTATTATGTTAAGTAGGTAGTACAATTACTAAATTAGGAAATTGTAACCTTGTTTTGGGAGGGACGAAAATATAAAATGATAATCTTTCAATGGGACGAAGGGAGTATTATAATTAAGGTAAAATATATACCGTAGATACGAGAATTTGTAACCTTGTTTTGTAATTTTTCAATGGGACGAATGGAGTATTATAATTAGGAAATTGTAACTTTGTTTTGTAACCTTGTTTTGGGTGTGTTACTGTAGATACGAGAATTTAGGTAAAGTATAATTAGTAGGTAATTAAAAAATATATTAGTAGAAATAATCATTATTTAGTAAAAATAATTATAGATTAAAATTAAGATAAGTATATAATTTAATTAAATTTTAAAAAATTATAAAATTTAAAACTTAAAATTCGATTAAAATGAATAATCATATTTTTAAACAGAAAAATGACAAATTATGTAAAATTGACGAAAATAAAAAATAAAAATAAATTATGTAAAACAAACTAGCAACTAAGTCAAATTATATGTTTGTCATCTAAGTTTGACATCTTAAAAGAAATAATTAATATTAAATAAATATGTATATATATATATAGAGATATATGGAAATTTGGAGTGAATTGTGGCACAATTTCCAACTTTATCAACAACTGCCCAATTGAATGAGTATTAATTCACACTCTTTGTAGTTTAATCAAAAAAAATTTTAAATGTATAGTAAATTCTATATTTAAGTCGTTATAATTTTAAATTAAATAAATAAATTGTTATTTTCTATAGGAACGTGAATTCGTGTTTTTGGGTCGTGTTCGTGTCGAGTTGAACCATAGAGATAACAAAAAAATTGTCAATCAGAACCCAACTTGAACCCGAAATCTAACCTGAAATCTTAGATCCGAACACGATACAAATTCTTTCAGGTCGGGTTCAGGTTGACCTGAATTAGTTTCAGGTCACTCGAAACTCGAACAAACCCGATACAAATCGACGCGAAACAGATCCGAAAATTTAAAAAGAAAATAAATTGAGCTAAAAAATATCATTTTTATTTTTATTTTTATAGTATTATATAAATATTATAAATTAAAATAATAATAATAAAAATTTCAGGTCAACCCGAAACACGAAATCCAAAACCCAAAATCTAATTTGATTTTTATATTTCAGGTTATTAGGTCAACCCGAAACACGACCCGAACATGATACGAATTTTTTTCGTTTCGAGTTCGGGTCAACCCAAATTTTTTAAACCCAAAATACCCAAACCCGAACCTGAAAATTTCAGGTCGAACGGATTTGATTTTTCGGATTGGGTTTATTTTGACACCCCTATTCTTCTACATATTGTGTGATATTTATTTATATATTTTAAAATTTTATATAGAACTTCACCTAGAAATTACTAGTGTGTTTGATCTGGATCTTTTTTTTCAACTTTGAGCTTGAGCAATAGTTTAATTTATTATTATTAATAATAATAATAATAATAATAATGCAGTCATTCAAATTTATGCTTTTTTAAAAAAATAATTGTCATAAAAATATTTTTGTATCTTTTCTTAGCAAAAAAATTACATCCCTTTTTTGTAATTTTCTGGATTTAAATAATAATTGTTTTTTTGTTAAGACACAAGAAAAATACAATAGAATTTATACCAAGTATAAAAAGTTTATTTTTCTATATATACATTTGAAAGTTATGATGCTATTAATGATGATAATTTTATTTAAAAATATTATATTAAATATTTTTAAATATTCAATTTTTTTACTATTTTCAAAATAATTTAGCATTTCTTCTATTAAATAAAGCTATAATTACATAATGTAGTGTGGTGCCTACCTGCCACACATAGTTTGTATCTAGTGTGACTTATCTTGTCGGACTTAATTTGCAGAGTATTAGGTTCACCAAAGATTTATTCAGTGCGCACTTTCGGATAACGCTTGCGGATTTCCACGTCATAAAAAAAATAATAATAAATTGAAATAAGAGACTAAAAACTTAAGAACAACTTAGAGTGTATTTTTTTTCATTTTTAAAGTTTGGCTTTATGTTTTTTGTTTTGATTTTTAGTTTGAATAATATTTTTTTAGAGAAAATATATTTTTATAGAAAAATAATAATATTGTATAATAAAAGAAAAAAAAAAACAATTTGTTACTATGAGTTTGTTAATTCTGTAAAATATTGTCATAAATTTTTATGGTTCACATTGTATTTTTATTTTTAAGTAGCACAATTTTATTTTAAAAAATAAAAATATATATAGTATAATATATACATTTTATTTGTTTATAAAAAGTCAATAATTCAATATTATTTTTTTTATATTATCAATACAATTTCTTATTTCTAATATAAAAAAAAAGTTCATTAAAAAATACAAAGTGAACACATCCAAAATTATAATTTAAAATTTTGTCTAAGTAGTATTTTCATATAATATTTTTTTTAAAAAAAGATAATATTCTCTCTATCTGCTATTTGTAGTTACATTTTCTTTGTAATTTACAAAGAAAGTGTAACTAAATAATACTCCATCCGTCCCAAAACTATAGTATGAGTTATGTTTGACACGAGATTTAAGAATTATTAATATTATATTGATAGTGGATAAAAAGTATGTGTCAGAGACTTTTTTACCCTTGTGAGTGTATTAGTGTAAAAAATAGTGACAATTGTATAATAATAATGAAAAAAAGTAAAATAGTTTTATAGTGATATGATTATTTATGAAAATGAGACTATTGTTTTGGGACGAACAAAAATGGTAAACATGACTATTTTATTGGGACGGAGAGAGTACCTTCTAGTTACAAAGGAAGTGTAACTAAATATGATGGACGGATGAAGTGTATTTTTATTGATAACAATGGATAATGAATATTATTGATTTCAATATAAAATTACATCGTAACACATCCTCTAAAAATATTATATTAAAATATTACTCTCTTCGTCTCATGTAATTTGTCAACTATTTTCATATAATTTGTCAACTATTTTCATATGTGTCCGTCTCACATAAATTGTTCATTTCATTTTTTGAAAATATAATTATATACTTTAATTATATTTTAAAATTCATAATATATAATTTTTTTATTTTAATTAAAGTATTTAGTCATATTAATTTTAATATATAATTATTTTTATTATATCTTAATTATTTTTACTAATACATTTTTAATTACTTACTAATTACATAGTATCTAAAACTTTGTGTCCCAATTGAAGCGACCAATTTAGCAGACGGAGGGAGTATTGAAATAAAAATTCAATCATCCAATTCCAAACAACAAATCAACAAACTCATGATTCATTTACTCCCTTTCTATAGTTACCATTTACTTTTTTGCACGTAAATTTTTCAATATTAGTATTGTATTGGGTTATAATGAAAATAAAAAAAATACCACTATTAGTATTGTTTAATATAAAAATAATAATATTTGTATAATATATAAATTGGAATGATATTTATTATGTTATATAAATAGTAAAATTACTAAATTAGAAAATAATAATCCTATAATTAGAAAAATATCAATCTTTTAATTGATTGAGAGTATTATATTTCTATATTGAATTCAACCTATATAGTTTTTCTAAATATCAAATTAAATTTAGTTTAATAAAAATCATTTAAAAATACAACTTAAACAAAGATGAAATAAAAATACAAAAGTTTTGAAAATAATTATAGGATTAAAAACAAAGAATCACTTTTGTTTAGTAGAGATAATAATAATTCAAAAAAAAAAGAAAAAATCTGTCACAATTTAATTACATGTTTATCGCTTTTTCCTTATAATTTATTTTTATTTTATTTATTTATTTATTTAATTTTCCCAAGTATCATTTCCCAATCCCAAGTAATCCCTGACTTCGCCGGGAAAGCAGGGGTGGCGCCGCCACGTACGGCTGTGCAACTTCAACACCTTCACCACTCTCTCCTTCGTCCTCGACTGTCCTCCGCCGCCGCCGCCGCCGATATGCAGCAGCGCCACCAGCTTCTTCACGGCGCCGCACGCCAGAAGCTCCTCCAGAACCTTCTCCGTCGGGTGAAAACTAGAAATCAACCAAACGATTTTTACCGCAATTTTCGTCGCCGTCGCCGATACATCGAACATCTTCTTCGCCACCGCAGGAATCCCGAGCTCGTGCTCCGTGAACGCCAATCTTCCCTCAGCACACTCGCACAACAATTTGATCAACAGCATTACCCGCTCCGATCTCGCTCTACTGTTCGAATCCGGCAGAAGCTCGATCAGCGTGCAGATCGCGCCGGCTTCGATCGCCTTCAGCCGCGACTTCTTCGACGCCGCGAGGATATCGACGAGCAGTTGCAGAGCGCCGGCGGTCGCCTTCGCGCACACTTCGTCGGAGACGATTTCGAGCAAGGATTTGAAGAAATCGACGCCTTGCTCCTGCACAACGAAGTTCCAATGGTAATCAGCTTTTGCGATCTTCAGGAAGATCGAAATCGTGCAGGATCTCGCCTCGGCGCCGCCGCGCTGGAGCATAACCGCCATAGATCTAACGCAGTTAGGATTCATAAGCAGTTGCAGAATCGGATCATCCTCATCCGAGATCGGAATCGCGTCGAGAATCCCCAAAGCTTCCTCGCAAGCTCTAAACGTTCCGAAATCCGAATTCTCAACCAAAATCTGACCAATAATCCTCACCAAAACCTGCACGCCTCCTAATCTCTTAAAATCCGCCCTAATTTCATCCCCAACCTCCACAATCGACCTCAATTTCCGCAACGAACTCACCTTAAACGGCGTCGTATCCATGGCGCTCAAAATCTCCACCAATTCACCGTGCTTGGCCGACGGCGCCGCCGCGCAATCCGCCTTCGAATCAGACCAAGCGATTATCAGCCTCTTCAACGTATGATTCGGAGTCATTTCGAAATCATCCACAGCTTGCATTGTCGCCGGACAGGTTTTCTTCCGGTAGGTGTGGAACCATCGGTAAATGTTCTTCCTCTCGTACGTGACGCCTGTGCTTATAGTCACCGGATCCTTCATGATCTCCATGGAAATCGGACATCTGAAATCTTCAGGAAAATCCATGGAAGCCTCGCCTGGATTTGACGCCTCCATTTTCTCTGTGAACTGCAGAAAGAGGGAAACTCCCACTCCAGACCTCCGGGGCTTTTATACCCAGAATCCATACATCCAATTTATTTTCTGCCCCTGATATTTAATCGTATTTCCGTTCTAACCCCATAAGAATTTAAAATTGCAAACGAATAGGGTCTTGTGATTTTATGTGTATAATTTTGTCAAACTATTTCTAAATTTCTTTTATTTAATAGTAATTCAAGGGTATTTATCTTTTTAGTCTTAAATAGGTTGGATTCGAAATTTTTAATTTAAATAATACTCTCTCCTCTCCGTCCAGCTAAAAAGTATATATATTTTTATTTTGGGATGTCCAATTACAAATAAACATTTCACTTTTTTCCACAAATACCTGTACTTTACATCACATCACTACTTTTACACAAAAACGCAAGGGCAAAAATATCTTTATACTACTTTTAACTATCCACTATAATTAAAATACTATTATTTTTTAAACACCGCGTCAAAAGTAATTATATACTTTATATGTGGACAGAGGGAATATTTGATACTCCTTCGGTCTCAAATTAAAGGGGTGGTCTGGGTTTTCCAATAGATTAAAAAATAATACTTCATCCGTTGTTCAAATCTATGTTCACTTTCTTTTTGGGTTGTCATTGAAAAATATTTTCGTTACCTTTTTAAGTAAAAAATTATTACATTTTTGTACATTTTTTTTACTATAAAAGGAAAAAGTAACTATTATTACTCACTTTTATTAAAACTCGTGCCCGGTCAAATGAGCATACATTTTGCATGACGGAGGGAGTAGTATTTTATTAGTTAGTAGAAATGCGTAAGAGTTTTTGACATTTTTTCGTTCTTTAGTTTTATGTATAAAGTAATTATATGTGTAATAGTATGTTTGTAATTTAAGTATAAACTTAGTATTTTAGTATTAGTATGTGATCATTTTTTCTAAAATAGAAAAAAAAAAAAATACTTTGAAGTGAAACGTATGAAAATGATAAAAAAATTCTACTTTAAATTGTGATGAATGAAGTATTTTTTTTTATTTTTTTTTATATCCATCAAATTTATGTTTTATTTTTTTAATCATCTAAAACAATATGCATTTTCAATCTATGACAAATATTTTTTACATATTATTTAAATTATATCTTTGAATATTTTAATTATTTACATAGATGCCGCCAACAATTATACATTCAATTTATCCAAAAAAAATAAAAATAACAAATTACCTTGTTAATTCATTCATATATTTACTAAAATATACACATTACATCACAATTAACTACTCCCTCCGTCCCATGTAATATGGGTGTATTACCGTAGACACGAGAATTTAGGTAAAATGTAATTAGTAAGTAATTAAGAAGTGTATTAGTAAAAATAATTATATATTAAGATTAATTATAAGTAAATAATTTAATTAAAATTAAGAAAATTATAAAATTTAAAATTTAAAATGCGATTAAAATGCATAATTATATTTCCAAAAATAGAAAAGACAAACTATGTGAGACGGACGGAAATAGAAAATAGGGACAAATTATGTGGGACGGAGGGAGTAATATAAAATTATATTCAGTACAATTCATGTTCAGCTTATATGAGAGGGAGTAATAAGAAAAAGAATATATGAATTTGTTCTATTTAAAATAGAAATTTTTTAAAATTATTGAAAATTTGAATATAAAATAAATTTAATATTTAGTATGATATTTTGTAAATAAAAATAATAATAATAATAATAATGTATCTTATGTGATGTTTTTTAGTTGAATAGTGTCAATGTTTCCAATTTTATTGTGTAAACTTATAAGATAAAAAACAAACAAATCCTATTTTTAAAAAAAATATACCCCCCTTCGTCCCATAACAAAGTATTCATTTTTTCATTTTAGTCCATCCCATAATAAAATATCAATTTTCTTTTTTAGTAATTGTATTATCTACTAACATTACAAATACCTTTACAACTTACAATATATTACACAAATATCATTACCTTTATATCACACATACTAATAAGGTTATTTTAGTCATTTCTACTTTATTCCTATTATATCCCAATATAATACTAATATTTTAAAAATTACGTGCAAAAAACAAATAAATATTTACTTATGAGACGAAGGGACAATAACAATCCCAAAAAAACACACACGAAGCTGACTAATTGATTTATCTATTATTTTTATATGAACATATAATTTACGGAAAATTTAAAAAATGAATTAATTAATTAGTGTGTGCTTTAATTTTTTATTTTTTTTTTAATGTTTTTAATTCAAATGTAAATTTTGAATGTAACAATTTGCCATTGAAAAATAATAATAATAATAATTAATTATACATAAGAATGGATCTAAATATTGAGATATATAACGTGACATATGGTGCACGTACAATTAATGAGGTAGATTCCAACATTTCTAAAAATTAATAAATATATATATATATATATATGAAATATGTATAGAAATGGTCAGAAGATATATTACTTTCTTCGTCCACATAATTTGTTCTTATTTTTTATTTTCATCCGTCCCACGTAACTTGTCCTTTTTATTTTTGGAAATATAATTATACACTTTAACCGCATTTTAAATTTTAAATTTTATAATTTTCTTAATTTTAATTAAACTATTTACTTATTTTAATCTATAATTATTTTTACTAATACACTTTTTAATTACTTACTAATTATATTTTACCTAAATTTTCGTATCTACAGTAATACCCCCATATTACATGGGACAGAGAGAGTATATCTTCTGTAGTTTTTCTTTGCTATTTCCGTGATATTACACACAATCAGAACTATAAATATATGTATTTTTAAATGTAAAAATAAAATAATATATTTTATAGTAATTTGTCACTCATATTTTTTATTTTATAATATAAAAAATTATAAAAAATTTATCGGTATGTTGATTTACACCGCAGTGCACTATAAAAAGAAAAATAACATTGAATCGATAAAAAAAAAAAAAAAAGAAAAAAAAGAAAAACGAGTTTTACCGATGGTTCTCTAGATATAATTGTTTATTAATATTAGAAACAAATCAAGATGAAATTTCAATAAAATTTTATTATGATTTTTTAAAAAATAAAAAAAATAATAAAATTGCATTACATAACAGCAACTCTTTCCCACGTTATCTCCAGATATTTATTACGAGTTTTGCTAGCTGTTGAGCTGCTTCGTTGACCCTGTAATAATAATAATAATAATAATAATAATAATAATAATAATAATGAGATCCATATCATAAGCTGAAATTAAAAATTTTAAAAAATTTCAAAGTTTAGAAACGGTATTTAAGTATTTCTTTTTGGAGTTTTTTTTGGTGTCGCATTAGAATGTTGAATTTTTTTTATTTTTTTTTTATTTTATTTTTTTATACGTGATCTTCGAATATTAATTATAATACTTTCTCCGTCTCGATACAATAGTCTTGTTTACCATTTTTGTCCATCTAAAAACAATAGTCTCATTTCTATAAATAATCATATCACTATAAAAATTACCATTACTTTTTCATTATTATTACACAATTGCCACTATTTTTTACACTAATATACTCACAAGGACAAAAAAATATTTTACATGTACTTTTTACCCACTAACAATATAATATCAATATTCCTTAAATCTCGAGCCAAACACAACCCAAACTATAATTTTGGGACGGAGGGAGTATCAAAATATAGTACAGGTCAATAAAAAAAAAATACTTCTATTAATGTCTTATAATACAAATACAATGACATTTGTACAGAAAATTATATACATATAAAAATATTTTAATGTTAAATACAATGAAAAGGTAACGGTAAACTTATTAAGTAAACAGAGAGAATATTAAAGTACCGTTTTTATCGTTCTTATATGAGTATTACTTTTCTATTTTAAAAAAGGTAATCATACTCTAATATCAAATACCCTTTTAACTTTTACTTAAATTATAAACATACTATCACACATACAATTACTTTATACGTAAAGTCAATGACAAAATATTAAAAACTCTTACACACTTTTACTGACCAATAAAATATTACTCCCTCCGTCCCAAAAGAGGCGTCTTGTTGGGAGTTGACACGAGAATTAAAGAAATAATAGTATTTAATTGAAAGTTGGGTATAAAATATAATGTAAAAGGCTAAAATGTCCTTGCTTTTTGAACGATTTTAAAAAGTAGGTTAGAGTAATAATTATGGGTAGTTTGAAAAAGTAGAAATAATTTTGTTATAAAGTGGGAACCACAGTTACTAAATAAGAAAATAAGACAACTGTTTTGGAACGGACGAAAATGAAAAAACAAGATAACTCTTTTGGGATAGAAGGAGTATTATTTTTTAATCTAATACAAAATTTCAAAAACCTCATTGAATTGAGATAGAGTGAGTATTAAAAATCCGCGCTAAAAATATATACATATCGTATGAGAATTCGTATGTGTTTATTTGTAAAATTTTTAATTAAAATAATTATTTGATTTGATATAAATATATATTGATTTAATATATTAAAAATAAAATTTAATTTTAATGTAATAAAAAAAGTTAATATTTGATTGAATATTTTCGAAAGAAAAAAATTAAAATAATAAAAACAAAGGCAAAATTGCAACAAGAAGTTGAATGTGTGGATAATTAATAACTACTTGTCACATTACTCATTACAATTTACAAGTACCATTTTAATCACACTTACTTACACAAATATCATTTCATTACAAATAAAATCAAAAAATAAATATTAATTCTTAATACTCCCTCCATCTCGGTGCAAAATTACCGTTTGATTCTTGCATCATTGTATTTTACCTTAAAAAATCATTATATTTGAATAATATACTTCACAAATGTAGCTGTATTTGTATTACAGTGAAGAAAATAAGGGGAGAAAGTACAATATTTTTTAATCTTTATAATATAATATTTCTTAATCTTCATGTCAAAAGTAAATGTAATTCTTTCGCGTGACGGATGAAACGGAGGGAAGATGTATATAAAATACAAGTGTATTAAATATACTTTAATGTAAAATTA